TATAATAACAAAATGCCACAAACTGGGTGGCTTAGAACAATGGAAATGTATTCCCTGACAGTTCCGAAGTCCAGGAGTCTGAAACCCAGGTGTTGGCAGGCTTGGTTCCTTCCAGAGACTTTGCGGGAGGATTTGTTCCCTGCCTGTCTCCCAGCTTCTGGTGGTTGCTGCCAATCCTTGGTGTTCCCTGGCTTGTAGATGCGTCCCTCCAGCCTCTGCCTCCATCTTCACAGTGAGTCCCACTCTGTGTGTCCCTTGTTTCTTATGAGGACACTTATCATCAGGTGTAAGGCCCATCCAGTTAATCCAAACTCTCATTCCAAGATCGTTACTTTAATCACATCTGCAAAGGCCCTTTTACCAAGTTTATCTTCACTGGTGCTGGGTGGACATTTTTTGGGGGGGAGACCACCATTCATCCTACTACATGGAATGTATGTACTGGATAAATTCCTAGAAGGCTGACTTCCTAGTTCACAGGATATGTAACTCAAACTTTCTTCAGTGAACTTTTAATTTGCATTTCTCTTNGCCCGACTGGCCTACTAGGAAGACAGTTTTTCCAGGGTATCATTATACCCAGAATTATGGATTCAGGAAAGCTTGCCTATATTTTGGATTTAATCTTTCCCAAGGCTCATCCACTTTGGTGTTTTTGGACCTGGTTACCTTCTATTCTCAAGGTCAGGTCCCCACGGCTATCAAATCCTGCCAATAGGAGACCAGAATAGATAATCCAGGAAACTTACTTTAAATAATCATTTCCAACCATTTCCTCTGCTTATTTTACCACTTATGCTTGCAAAGATTAAGAACTGTCTAATAATAAGTTTGAATTTGTTAAATGCCTCCATGATGCTAAGAATTTTTATGTAAGCTATCTGATTTCATCCTAACAATAGGAAGACATCACTATCTCCATTGCATAAAAGCTGATAACTCATATATTTAGTCCTGAGCTCCAAATTCAATTGACTTGACATCTAACTTAACATGAGCAAATCAGAGTGCTTACTTTCTGCCCCAAATCTGTTTTCCAAGTCTTACATTACTGCCACCACCCACCCAATTGCTCAAGCCATAAACCTTGATTCTTCTCTTCCCCTCACCCCTCATGTCCAGTCTGTCGGGAGGTCCTGTCGGCTCTGCCTCCTGACATAAACACTGTCAGTCCATTTCACATCTAACTCCCAAGCATCAGCTCCCGAGCTTTACGCTATTCTCCCTCCTTCCTTTTTCTTCTTGCCCTGAGGAACCAGGGTCATAGGACATTCTGAGATGCCAGAGTAGAAGGGAGGTCCAAACTGAACAGTACGCCCTCTACAAAGGCTCCTCCGGAGTCCGAGCATGGATCGGGTCTCCCTGTGCTTCTGGAACAGGCTTGAAACAGACTGATGCCTGTGAAAGACACTGTTTTCCACAGATTTGTTTTAACATACACAGCTGCTGATCTTTTCCAGAACTTCTGCTAGAAATTAACTGCTCAAAAAAAAAAAAGTAGGGCTGGCTGCATGCAAGGAAAGCTTAAAAAGGCAAGTGAATGCAGAATCTAAGAATTCTTAGGAATCAGCTGGGCAGATCTTCTCACTCTGAGTTGGAAGGGCAGGTGGGACCCAGCCTGAGGCTGATGCCCAAGGACAAGCTGGGATCAGGGTCTAGCAGAGGGTCCACGGGAAGGCAAGTACCTTGTCCAAGATGTGGCCATCTCCAGGCCCAGCCACGCCACAGTTAGCCACCAGATGTGCCATTGACAGAATAAGCCTTGACAGGTGAGCAGAGCCACAATGGAGATTCTGGCTGGGTGACACTCAGAAACTCAGGCAAGGGTGTCTCAGATGCTTAGGACATACAGTGATTTCTTGGGTCTTGTAATGGTAGTGCCTCCATGATATAATAATAGTGATAGCTAACCTTTATTAAGCATCTACTAGGAGCTAAGCACTATAATAAGTAATCTTTAGCACTCTTTACCGAAACCTATGCAGTAAATACTACTTTTGTGCCCATTTCACACATAGGGAAACTGAGGTGTAGAGATATTACACTCCTATTTGGTAGTGGGCCAGGATTGGAACCCCGGAGGGCAATCTTCACTGATCTGTTTTAGTTTTCAATCTGGAGGGAAACTTTGCGCTATTTTCACTGTCATGGAAATAACAGAACTGTGACTTGAGTTTCCCAATTGACAAACTTTACTTCATTCACCACTTTGGTCATGTTTTTAGCAATTACCATTTTCCCCATAAGAAGTCGGGAAGCCGTGCTTTTCTCCCCATTCTTCATCCCCCAAGCCTCCCATCCAGTGTCTATACTGGGAAGTCCAGGCAGGCTGTGGACATCAGAGAAGCCTGTTCACCAAGGCTAATCGCAGGTCACCAGGCTGGGGTCAGGAGCAGCCTGGTCAGAGGAAAGCAAGACCCTGCCCCTGAGAGCGGCCTGAGGGACGCTGCAGGCCACCGGGGGGGGGGGCAGGGGCAGACAGCTGGAAAGTGGGCAGCAGTGCCAGGAGAAACATGGGTCTCAGGAATGGGGTAGAAGCCCAGTTACCTTGTGAAGAACAAACCAGCCACAGGACTGACTGATGGAAAGACAGGCAGACACGGGCTCGATGTCATCCATTCCCTGACTTGCTGTCTGGCTTTGGACGAAAGTCTCTGCAAAACGGGAATAATGATTCTCAGCAGCAGTAGTAGTATGAGCATTAAGCGAGGGAATCTGTGTAAAATTCTTGGCATCTACTAGGCACCCAGTAAATAAAGCGAATGCCAGTACTAGTACCACCTCCAAAGTATTAGACTGGGGCACTAAATTACCTCCTGCGTCGGATCAGGATTGATATGGGGACACGGATGTGGATAATGCTGTAAGTGGGGGTTCAGGAGTGCCCATCTGTGGGGGAATGAAGGATACACAGTCCAGGAACCAAGTCGAACCCATGAGATTTCACAAAAATTCAGTTATTCCCTAACTTCAAGGTGAGCCACTCCTCGGCGTTGGCTGAGGTCTAGATATTTTTAAAGTCTAGATATTTTGAAGTCTAGATATTATTGTATATACCAGGTAACTACCTTCCGTTTCCCTTCACATGCATCCCTTATCACCCCTCCACCCCCTCCCCTGACCTCCAGCTCACACACTAAAAGATACAGGTGTCGGGGGCCATCAGTGGGTTCTCTGTCCTGGACATTCACTCTACTATTCATTCATCAACAACACAGCTTGGGTTCCTGCTGTCATCACATTAGTAGCAATGCCCTCATGTTTGAGGGTCTGCTATATGTCTGCTCGGGGCTAGTGGTTGCGGTTGGAGTGCCCGCATAGCTACTGCCTAGATAATCAACGCCGAGCTCCCCATAANGGAGAGGGAAGGTTATGCATGCTTGTGTCTCCCCTCCCTGGGAAGCCTCTCCCACAACTCAAAATGCTTTCTTATTTGTGTTGTGTTGTAACGATCACCCACCATATCTCCATGAGTAGAAAAGAATAGTTAATATGTTACGCAATGTTTCTGAAAGCGAGGTCCCTGAATTACTTACAATAGTATCGCTGTGTGATTGTAAAAATCTACTTTAGACCTACTAAGTCAGAATCTTTGGGGGTGGAGCCCGGGAGTCTGTATTTTAATATGTCCTGAAGGTGATTCTTACTATTAGTAAAGTTTGAGAGTCACGGGCTTAGTGGTTACAAGCACTTTCTTTGGAGGTTCAAATCCTGCCTCTGTTTCTTACCCACTGGGTGATCTTGGGTGTGTCACTTAAATTATCTGATTCTGACTTCCCTAGTCTGTAAAATGGGGATAATCATTAGTTCCAGCCTCACAGGGGCTTTGTAAGATTAAATAAGCTAATGTGTGTAAAGCACTTAGCACCTTGTGAGCTGCTGTGATGGGCACCCCATTTTCAGTTAGTAGATAATGACAAGCCCTCCAACGACTGGGGATCTGAGCCAGGAATGTAATGCAGGTGCTGAACCCAGCAGGCTAGTCCGTCTCAAACTGATGTGCATCAGAATTATCTGAGGTGCTTGTTTCAGTGCTGATCCTTGGGCCCCGTTCCCTTGTTCAGAATCAGTAGGTCGGGGGCCTAGGAATCTGTATTTTTAGTGTGCTCCACAGATGACTCGGGCAAACTTCAAAGTTTATGACCCCACCGTGCAGTGCAGTGTTTGCTGTGAGTGTAGCGTGGTGACTGTGCAGGTAAACAGACCTGTGCTCAAGGACCTGTTCGTCCCCTAAACAGCTGTATAAATTTGAGCAAATTAAGCTTTCTTGCCTCCATTTTCTCACCTATAAAAATACTGCAATAACCCCCATTTCATAGCGTTATTTTACAAATTGGTGTGCATGAACACTTGGCAAAGTGCCTAACACGTAGCAGGTATTCAATAGATTGTAGCTAAAATCCAAACAAAATGCAGTGTCCATCTCTCGTTAGTCTGAATTGAAAATACTGCTTATGATTAAGCCCAATTTGAGTTAATAAAACTTCTGGTCTTTGTTTTACCTTCAGTGTCAACAGAAACACTGAATTGACCTTTTTAAAGAAACAGTTCTTTAGGGCTACCTTTTACTGCTTAAGAAAAACGGACCAAATGAATCGATGTTGGTGGGAAAGTTTGCAGTTGTAAACACACCCTTCTTCTAGGGTCCCCACAGAAGGGGAGACTCAGATGCTGTACCCCAGGATCACATGTAGCTAGATAGAAGAGATTAAGTACAAATGGAAAATTTTTCATCCCCCTTTCTGCTTTGTAAAGTATTTGACTTAACATTTTCTGTAGGAAGCAATTTTGGTTATTTTTACCTGCTTGATTGATGGCTGGCAGCATGGAACTTTGGTTTAATTCTAGATTTCCGAGATGTTGAGCCTTACAGGAGAGTTAACTCTTGTAGCCCAGGGAGAATGGGCCCAGTCATCCTTGGCCTTGGGAACCCCCTGCTCAGGAAACCCCACCTGATAACGATGCATGTGGGTCTCTCTCTCTCTCTGTCTGTGGCCCAGGTACCATTACTATGGCATTGCAGTGAAGGAAAACTCCCAATATTATGATGTGATGTATTCCAAGAAAGGAGCCGCCTGGGTGAGCGAGACGGGCAAGAAAGAAGTGAGCAAACAGACGGTGGCGTATTCACCCCGGTCCAAACTTGGAACGTTGCTGCCAGAGTTTCCAAATGTCAAAGAGCTGAATCTGCCAGCCAGTCTGCCCGAGGAGAAGGTGACCACATCTGAAGGATTATGGGGAGTGGGTGATTTCTCTCTTTTCCACACAACACACACATGCACGCACGCATGCATGCACGCACGCATGCATGCACGCACACACACACACACTTTACTTGCAAAATGGTGAGTTTGAAAATATAAAGCTAGAAATCTGAATGAAGTATGGACTTTAGTTGATAGCATATCAGTATTAGTTCATTAGTCCTGACAACGGTGCCATCCTAATATAAAGTGTTGACAATAGAGTAACTGGGTTGTAAGATATATGGGAAGTCCCTGTACAACCTTTAAAACTTTGCTACAAACGTAATACTACTCTAAAATAAAAAGTTTATCTACCTGTCTACCTACTTACCTACCGACGTGTCACCCTTCCTACTCATCTATGATGTTACTTACACCTTCTCACTTCACAAAGGAAAGACCCCTCTCCCCTAGGTTGCTTTTTTATAGGATAACGAGTATTTTCCCATGTGCTGCAGAGGATGTGGTGAAATCATAGTCCCGCAGACAAAAAAGATTTTATAGGTATAGTGACTGAGATAGTTTGGGTCATAGGGTGTTGGGAGGAAGTTACTGGAAACACAGATTTGGGGACTTGCCCCTGGTGATCGCATCTCTCACGCACCTCTCTTGCTGCAGCCCAGTGCCCAGTAGGTGCTGAGCTTCTGCCATCCACAGATGGCGCTGGGAGTTGGGATGCAGTGGTGATGAGACCTGTGTTCTGCTCTCAGGAAACTTACCATCAATTGAACATGCACGCACACACGCACGCGCACAAGCATGCGCATCTGTGTTCTGAAACAAAAATAATATCTGTAAAAAATGCTTTTTAAGTTGAAGAACCAGATAAATCTTTATTTTTTTCCCCTCCAATTTACTTTTTTTTTTCTCAGCAGACTTCCTGTATCATAGCTTTAAAATTCTTGGATAAAGGGAGCTGGAGTTAAAACTCTTTTGCTAAGCAGATTCTAGAGAATTTCCCAAATGTCTTTTTGTGATTTTGGCAAAAGTACCTCTTCTTACAAATACACACTGTGTTTTAACTTTTCAGCATCTCAGCTGATGAGGA